TACTATGTAACAAACATTTTGCTACAGAGCTTCTTTTGACAGGGTCTGGCTCTGTCACCCAGGCTGGAGTGCAGTGGTGTGATCTCAGGTCACTACAGCCTCCACCTCCCAGGTTCAAGGAATCCTCATGCCTCAGCCTCCAAGTAGCTGGTATTACAGGTGCATGCCACTACACACAGCTAATTTTTAAATTTTTAGTAGCGATGGGGTTTCACCATGTTGGCCAGGCTGTTCTCAAACTCCTGGCCTCAAGTGATCCTCCCCACTAGACCTCCCAAAGTGATGGGATTACAGGCGTGAGCTACTGCGCCCAGCCATAGAGCTTTTTAATGAACGGAAAAAGTGACAACAGCAAATTACAAGATGGTATGTTAACAACTATTCAATTTTTTTTTTGAGACAAGGTCTGGCTCTGTCACCCAGGCTGGAGTGCAGTGGTACAATCTTGGCTCACTGCAACCTCCGCCTCCCAGGCTCAAGAAATTCTCCCGCCTCAGCCTCCTGAGTAGCTGGCACTACAGGCAGGCACCACCATACCCAATTAATTTTTTTGTATTTTTGGCAGAGACAGGTTTTGCCATGTTGCCCAAGCTGATCTCAAACTCCTGGGCTCAAGTGATCCACCTGCCTCGGCCTCCCAAAGTGCTGGGATTACATGAGTGAGCCACTGTGGCCAGCCAACAACTATTCAATTTTTGTTTACAAAGTGTGCATGTATAATGTGTAGGAAAATGAGCTTTTTTTTTTTTGAGATAAGGTCTTGCTCTGTCACCCAGGCTAGAGTGCAGTGGCATGATCACAGTTCACTGTAGCCTCAACCTCCTTACCAGGCTCAAGCAACCATCCCATCTCAGCCTCAAGTGGGTGGTACTATAGGTGCGCCACCATACCCAGATGAAAAATGAGCATTTTTGTATATGTAGGTATGCACATGTATATATTATGTGTATATATACATATATAGAGACAGAGAGAAACAGAGTAGAAAAGTGTGTGTGTGCATGCAAAGTAGGTGTATATGTGCCAAAAGTACACAAGGAATTTTTTTCCCCAGAGACAGGTTCTCACTGTGTCACCCAAGCTGGAGTGCAGTGATGTGATCACAGCTCACTGCAGCCTTGACCTCCTGGGTTCAAATGATCCTCCCACCTCAGCCTCCTGAGTAGCTGGGACCACAGGTGTGTACCACTATGCCCCTAATTTTTTTTCTGATGTTTTGTAGTGACAGGGTGTCATTATGTTGCCAGGCTGGTCTCAAACTCCTTGGCTCAAACAATCATCCCTCTCCTCAGCCTCCCAAAGTGCTGGGATTACAGGCATGAGCCACTGTGCCCCCACACAAGGACTGAGATCTAACTGTTAGCCGTGCTTACCACTGAATAGCAGACATACAGGTCACTTTAATGTTCTTCTTCACACTTTCCTATACTTTCTAGGATTTCTTTTCCTATATGAAGCATGCATTACTCATAACCAGAAAATAATCTTCCATTTTATGTAAGGAAGTAACTTTTTTTTTTTTTTTGAGATGGAGTCTCACTCTGTCACCCAAGCTGGAGTGCAGTGGCACAATCTCAGTTCACTGCAACCTTTGCCTCTTGGGTTCAAGTGATTCTCCTTCCTCAGTCTCCCAAGTAGTTGGGACTACAGGCACCTGCCACTACACCTGGCTAATTTTTTGCATTTTTAGTAGAGACAGAGTTTCACCGTGTTAGCCAGGATGGTCTTGATCTCCTGACCTCGTCATCTGCCCACCTCGGCCTCCCAGAGTGCTAAGATTACAGGCATGAGCCACTGCACCTGGCCAAGAAGTAACTTTTTAAAATGAGCATCTGAGACCCTAGGGACTAACTGCAGCAAGCAGCTGTCACCAAAAATTACACATGTAGGAATTAGGCTAAGAAAAAATATGTCAACTATGTTAATTAATGCTCTCCAGAATGTGGTTTAGCTATACATGTTCTAGAAGTATGTTGGAGCCAGCTATAAATCTACATATCTTGTTCTCTTTAGATTCTTGTTTTGAACTAAGGTCTATGAGGCCAGAACATCTTGGAGGACGCTGCGTGTCATCTGATTTCTAGGCATCATTTTAAAAAGGCAGCTCGATTCCCCTTCTTGACCATTAGGTGGGGCAAGAAAGCTTTAGAAGAGTTCCTACCTGCTAAAACATGAACAGGAAGAGACCAAATTGCAGAAAAAGCCGTTAGAACTGTTCAGAAGTCATCCCCATCCAGTTGAGTGGGATGTATGTTAATTTTTTCCTAGGGTGAAAACTGTTTCCAGAGAGTTTTCTAGAGAATACCAAGTTGGGAGTCTATAAAATGTGTTTCCATACCTAAAAATCATACCTGTAACCAGGACTTTTTTCTAACATTTGAAATTAAAATATCTCAGGTTGAAAAGCTGAGATATCATTTTTCATGGGTCAGATTGGCAAAAATTCAAAAGCTTAGCAATACACTCTGCTGGCCAGACTTTGGGGCAAATGGCACTCTCATCCACTACTGGCCCAACTCCCATAGAGAAGAGCTGGCAATATCTAACAACATTCCATATACATTTTACCCTTCAGCCCAGCAATCTCATTTTCTTTGGAATTTACTCTGAAGATTCACCTCCAACAATATGAAAATAAATATGCGCAAGTTTATTGATTACAGCATAATTTGTAATTGCAAAATATCAAACTACCTAAATGTCCAAAAATAAGAGTATGGTTGAATAAGTTATGGTACAGCTACACAGCAGAGTACTATGCAGCTATAAAAAAAGAATGAGGCCAGGTGTGGTGGCTTACACCTGTAATTCCAGCACTTTGGGAGGCCGAGGCTGGCAGATCACCTGAGGTCGGGAGTTTGAGGTCAGCCTGGCTAACATGGTGAAACCCTGTCTCTATTAAAATTACAACATTAGCCAGGCATGGTGGCACATGCCTGTAATCCTGGCTACTCGGGAGGCTGAGGCAAGAGAATTGCTTGAACCCAGGAGGCAGAGGTTGCAGTGAGCCAAGACTGCACCACTGCACCCCACTCTAGGCTGGGAAACAGAGGGAGACTCCATCTCAAAAAGAAAAGAAGACAACCTTATAAAGTGGTATGTACGGAACAATTTCCAAGATTTCTTAAGTGAAAAAAGCAAAGTACAAAAAAGAATATAGAGGATACTACCTTCTGTATATGAAAATAAGGGGAAAAGAAAACATACATATATCTCCTTGTCTATACCAAAAAATGCATAGGAACAAGAAACCAGAAGTTTCTCACCTACAAGGAGTGGAAGGGAATAGTATTGAAGGAATACAGGAGGAAGTGACACTTCCCTGAGTATACCTTTTGGAATAGTTTCATTAGGGGAAGTATGTTAATGTTCTACATATTCAAAAAATCAAATCAAATAAACATGGATGGTGGGGAGAGCTGACACTGAAAACAAGTTGAAAAAAACAACAACTGTATTCCCAACGAAGAACATGACCATATCATGGGGGTAGGAATGGAGCAGACTAACGCAAGTAATTCATGTACACAGTATTTGTCCATATACCTTCGGTCTTTGGGGCGCAGCAGTGGAAAACCACAAACAAATCCTGAACTATTTTTACTAGGTTTGTTTCCTGCTGTGGTATAAGTGAAGCAATTCTGAAACTATTTTAGATGTATTGTAGGATTGAGCAAATGATTAAATGGTTTGATGTTAGGAGCCAGGGTTCTCAGTGCGGAAGAAGAAACATACAAATATAAAATAGGAGAAGGCAAGGAAGAATCCTATAGAGATGGATGTTAGGTGCCATTGTGACCTCATCATTTCTAAAATATGTGTATATATATAGCATGTGTGTATGTTTCCTAGATATGGCTGCAGAAAAGGCTTATAAGAAAGACATTCCAGTGGCAATGGGCACTAGAGCCCAAGCCTTGGACTCTAATACCATTCGCCACTAAAAGGAACCAGGACTCCTTAGAGAAATGACTGATTTCAAGCCTGGGGCAGGGAATGTCCAAGATAAAGACAAAAATATCTTGTTATGCCTCAGAGTAAAGAATGGCTAAAAAGAAATGATAGGTGCATATCACAATTTGCAATTGCAAAAATATGGAACCAGCTCAAATGCTCATGTCAATAAATGAAGAAATGTGGTATATATGTGTACACACACACACACACACACACACACATATATATATAGGAAGGAGGCCCTCTTTAAAAACCAGAATGGTCTTCATTTTGGGTTTGTCTGATAATTCTTTGTGATTACATTCAAGTGCTGCATTCCCAGCCAACATACCATATTAGTGATGTTGTGTTCTCTATTGTTAGTAGTGGAGAATCCATATCCATGTCACATGGCACCAAAATATCTTCCAGTAGCAAACCTGTACAAGTCTGCAGCAACCTCAATTATTGCCTCCTAGAAGAAAGAACTGGACTGAGGGGCACAAGGCAGAAGGAGAGATCGAGGCAAGTTTTAGAGCAGGAATGAAAGTTTATTACAAAGCTTTAGAGCAGGAATAAAAGAAAGGAAAGTATACTTGGAAGAGGGTCAAGCAGGCAACTTGAAAGGCAAGTGCACGATTTGAATTTTCGTTTTATAGGCTGGCAGACTTCTGGGGTCTTGGGTTACTTTTCCCAACTCCCGAGATCTTATCGGGAAGCTGCTGATCACCATTATTTTAGAGAGACAGTAAACCACCGCCTGACTATCACCTGATGGTTGCCTGACACTCCTGGTATGTGGGCGGGGGGAGCCCTCTTCTGTCCTGCTCATACCAGACTAGCTACCCACTGTAACAGTATCGCATTGGTTGCCATCTGCCCCTCCTTGGTGATGTTAATTTTGATCCCCTAGCCAAGGAGTTGTCCTTTCCTTCTACTGTATAATTGCTGTTTTTCCTTCTTGCCTTGCAATAAATAAGCAATCTGTAAGAAGATACTTTTACACATCAAAATATCCTGCTCCTCATCAAAACTGCCTCATACATTTAATATCTATTGATGACTTTTTTTTTTTTTTTTTTGCCTCAAGTGATCCTCCCGTCTCAGCTTCCCTAAGTACTGGGATTACAGGTATGAACCACCGTGCCTGACCAAAAAAAAATATAGTTTTAATTATCATGAATACATAATAGTTGTACATATATATGGGAATATGTGATATTTTGATATAAGCATACAATGTGTAATGATCACATCAGGGTAATTGGGATATGCATCACCTTAAACATTTATTATTTCTTTGTGTTAGAAACATTCCAGTTCTGGCAGGGCACGGTGGCTCACACCTGTAATCCCAGCACTTTGGGAGGCTGAGGTGGGTGGATCTCTTGAGGTCAGGAGTTCAAGACCAGCCTGGCCAATATGGTGAAACCCTGTCTCTACTAAAAATACAAAAATTAGCTGTGTGTGGTGGCACACACCTGTAATCCCAGCTACTTGGGAGGCTGAGGCAGAAGAATAGCTGGAACCTAGAGGGGAGGCTGCAGTGAGCCAAGATTGCCACTGCACTCCAGCCTGGGTGACAGTGTGAGACTCTGTCTCAAAAACAAACAAACATTCCAGTTCCATTCTTTTCATCACTCTTTTCTTTTGAATGGATAAAGCAAATATGGTACATATACACAATAGATTATTATTTAGCCATAAAAATAATGAAATTCTGTCATTTGCAACAACATGGATAGAACTGGAGGACTTGTTAAGTCAAATAAGCCAGGCACAGAAAGACAAATACCACATGGTCTCACTTAAAAGAAACAAACTTGAATTCATACAGAGAAGCATGATGGTTACCAGAGGCTGGGAAGGGTGGTGGGGAGGGGCCGGTAAGGAGGAGATGGTTGAGTACAAAACTAGTTTGATACATGGAGTAAGACCTAGTGTTCCATAGCATAATAGGGTGACTATAATTAACCTCCAAGCCTACCAGTGAAAAGGAAAATTAAAAGACCTCTGTTCTCGAAATGTTAAGAATTTGAAGTGAAAAAAGGTGAACTAAAATATTGGTAGAAATGCCCATATGGAAAAATAGGTAGAATTTAGATCAGTGGCAAGGAGGGAAGAGGCTGGGGAGGTGAATGAATATGCCAAGGCTTGAGGTCAGAAGGAAGCCCACCGAGGGTGACCAACAACACGTTCTCACATAGCACCTGGCTCAGAGCAGATGCACAGAACCTGATGGTTCATGCCTGCATCTTCAGGAAACCACAGAACAGAGGTCTCCTGGGAGAGCTGCTGGGAGACGAGGTTGGGTAGTAGAAAACCTGAAAGGCAGCACACCTTCCCACCTTTCTCTTCAAGCAGCTCATAAGCCAGGTGCTAGAATTTGAACTTTTTTTTTTCTGTAGGTACCAGGAAGTCACTATAAGATTTTGCCTAAGAAGGTGGCCCTTTAGTCATTGGGCAAGTATTTGTCATTGTTAGTTCTGAGTCAGGCACTGATCTAGATAGAGGGGAGAGATAAACAGGTCCTTATTTGACATGCTTGGTTTTAAGCAGGGGTGTGTTTGGGTATTCCGGGAACCCAGAAGAGGGGCAGCTAACTCAGTGAGGCTGGGTTGGGAAGGCCACCAATCTAAGTCTTGTTTATCCAGATGGTCACCTGGGTTGCTGACGCCTTTTGGCTACTGTGAATAATGCTGCAATTAACATTGCCATACAAGTGTCTGAGTCCCAGTTTTCCATTCTTTGGGGGAATACACCCATGAGAGGAATTTGCTGGGCCATATGGTAATTCTATGTTTAGCTTTTTGAACATTATTTTGGGAACTTTTTTTTACCATAGTTGTTAAGAGACCATTAAGTTAGTAGCACTGTGTTCCCTGCAATCACTTGCAGAAATTGCCATCAGGGAGAACTCAACATTAAAGTCTATTTATTCTTTACTAAATATTATAATGAATATCATTAGAAGGGATTAGAATTTGGGATGATAATTTACATTAGAAAATTATTTGTAAAGTTTAATCTAGTTTTTAACATCTTAAATGATGTGTACATCAAAACAAACAAAACCCCTAAATTTTATTTATTTGTTTGAGACAGAGTCTTACTCTGTCATCTAGGCTGGAGCGCAGTGGTGGAATCCCGGCTCACTGCAATCTCTGCCTCTCGGGTTGAGGCAATTCTCCTGCTGCAGCCTCCTGAGTAGCTGGGATTATAGGCACACACCACCATGCCCAGTTAACTTTTGTATTTTTAGTAGAGCTGGGGTTTCACCATGTTGGCCAGCCTGGTCTCAAATTCCTGACCTCAGGTAATCCACCCATCTCTGCCACCCAAAATGCTGGGATTACAGGCGTGAGCCACTGTACCCAGCCAAAACCCCTACATTTTAATATAACTCAGGATTTTATAAAACATTTTTAGTGCCCTGGGAATGAGATTCTATTCCTTGTCCTGTACAATAGGTATGTTTGAATATCATATAAACTTTAAACACGATTTAAACATGTGACTACCTGTGAAGACTGAATATATGTAATAAAGTATAATCTCAACTACCAAAACAATAAAGCTGAGAAAAAAGACTAATGAGAAAATATCAAAATGTTAGTCTGCACTAAATATTTATGAGCAGTGGGATTATAGAGAAATTTTTCTCCCTTTTACATACTATTCTATGTACTTTGTCAAGGACAAAATTTCAACAGAGTTTCAAAGATCTGATTGGCTTTAACAGTGATTCATGAACCAATCTACAAACTAGAATCCAATCTACAAACTAGAAGGAAGTCCAATGAGCTAAACAAAGTGGGCGAGTTTTATAGGCAGAAAAAAGTGCAGGAAGGCAGGAACGAGGAACAAAAAGCGAATTGGCCATTTCAAGGTTACTTTCCTCACAGGGATATAAGTGAAATCTTGCTGGCTTAATGGAATTTAGCTATTGTCTCTTCTGATTTGTTGGAAGGTCAGATCTTCTAAGTAAACAACTTAGGTTTCTGTTTGGTGACATGGAACCTTAGCATGAGTGACACCTTTTTGGGCCTGTTGTCTTTTCTTTAACAACTGTTGATCAGGGGAAAAAGTTGGTTTCTTTTTAAAGAAAAGCGGTAAGATGAATTTTTTTTTTTTTTAAGACAGGGTCTCACTCTCACCCAGGTTTGGGTGCAGTCTGGTGATCACAGCTCACTGCAGCCTCAATCTCCCAGGCTCAATTGATCCTCCCACCTCAGCCTCCAAAGTAGGTGGGACTACAGGTGCAGGTCCCTACACTCAGCTAGTTTTTGTATATTTTGTAGAGACGGAGTTTCACCATGTTGCCCAGGCTGGTCTCGAACTCCTGAGCTCAAACAATCCACCCACCTCAGCCTTCCTAAGTGTTGGGATTACAGGCGTGAGCCACCGCACTCTGCCAAATTTAATTTTTTATATATTGTTAAATATTATAAATCAATAATTTTTATTTAAACCTCAATGCAATACATATTTAAAATAAGCCTACCTACTTTTTATGACGTGGGAGGAATGGCCAGGAGTAAAATCCCAATGGACTATAGTGAAGTAGCTAGCCTATAGAGGTAAAGCTTGTTTACATGGATTTTGGTAACAGATACATAATGGATAGGATGAAATGTTCTTACCACTGTTTTAAAAAAGAAAGACTTTATTATATAAAAATGATACAACATTCATTATGTTTGATAGATACAGAAGAGTACAGTCACTCATAATCCCACCACTTAAAAAAATCAACAGTGTTAACAGTGGGTGGGTATGTTACCAAACCTCTCAATTCACTCGTATGTACAGACAGGATTGATGGTGGGAAACCCCAAACTTTTTATTCTAACAAGTTTTATTTATTTTATTTTTTGGGATGGAGTCTCATTCTGCTGCCCAGGCTAGAGTGCAATGGCATGGTCTCGGCTCACTGCAATCTTTGCCTCCTGGGTTCAAGCGATTCTCTTGCCTCTGCCTCCCAAGTAGCTGGGATTACAGGCACATGCCACTGCACCCAGCTAATCTTTGTATTTTTAGTAGAGACAGGGTTTCACCATGTTGGCCAGGCTGGTCTCAAACTCCTGACCTCAAGTCAAGTGATCCACCCACCTCGGCCTCCCAAAGTGCTGGGATTACAGGCATGAGCCACTGTGCCTGGCCATCTAACAAGTTTTAGATTTAACTTCATTTGAATGTAATAGAGAAAAATTAGAAATGAAATTGAAGTGGCTGCAGAACTTCAGATAAATGTTTCTTCATTGGTTCCTAAAAGGGATAAGTAAGCCAGTGATACTTAAACACAAGTATGTGCCAGAATCCCCTGGAGGATTTGTTAAATCACAGATTGCTTGGCCCCACCCCCAGGGTTTCTGATTCAGGAGGTCTGGGGTGGGGCCAAGAATCTGCATTTTTAACAAGTTCTCAGGTGATGTTGATGTTGCCGGTCTGGGACCACACTTTGAGAACCACCGAATTAAGGTCAAGAAAGAAAAAAAAAGATTGTGGAAAAACTTAAGGTTTGTCACTAGAGTTTTTCCGCATATTATAATCTTAAGACATGACTTGACATGACACCTGGCCATGAATGATGAGACGGTTAGTTCTTAGTCTTTATCCCACTTTACCTCCTCCATGTCTGAATTTGTCAATGTACATTAATTTTTCTTTGTCAAGATTTATAACATTTACATCCTATTCTACATGTATGGTTCCTCAGTTCTTAAATGTTCATTCTGCATTTTAATGGACTCAGAGCTCATAATCATCCTATTTGATGGAACTTTCTTGGGGAACCTAGTATCCCCTCTCTTCTAGTTCCTATTAAATGTTCAGAACCAGAACTCACTAGACCCAGTCAAAGGTGTCTCTGACTTCTGCAGGATTTGGCTTCCCCAGGCTGCTCTGAGACCTGGGAAATGCCTAGTCCTGGTGAATCTTACCCCTTCAGCTGAGGTCCTGAAATGGTGGCAAAGACTTCGTTGTCCCAAGAGTTTTCCTTGGTGCTCCTCCACGTGGCCTGGTCACCTTGTCAGTGCCTTTGTCCATACTGGGGCCCATTGTTACCAAGATTTTTGTCATCTCCATTGTTTTACTCAGTGCTACTTATGGGACTTGGCGAGGGATGAAGTCACACCACACCTTGCTGCATCAGCTTCTCCTTTCTTCCTTGCTTGGTTGCTCCTGGTGAATTTGTGCCTGGTGGTTATTGAATTTGCTGGGTAGTGGAGATGATAAGAGTTTCCCATCCAGCTTTACTTTTCCTACTTCCACCTAGAAGTATTACCATCTTTTCCTTTTTTAAAAAAAAACTATTCAAAAATGTAGGATTTATTATGTAAAATGTGGTAAATAGTATACATCTACATAAATTGTTATATGTAAATGTAGTGGGTTTTTTTCCCATAGAAAAAAAATGAAAATGTATCATCCAAAATATTTATAATAGTTTTCTCTGTGATAAGACTATGGGCAATTCTTCAAATTGAAATTTATATTGAAATAACTCTAGATTCACATGCAGCTATGAAAAAAATAATACAGAGAGATCTGTGTACAATTTACCCAGTTTCCCCCAATGCATCAATTTTTAAAACCAGCAAAACCACCAAAGAATAGTGCCTTCTGAGGTTGGTGCAACCAATAAGAAAGAAACAAGATGAGGGGATGCTTAACCAGAAATGGCAACTTTTCTCTCAACCTTTTGTATATATGCCCACTAAAGTACTTACTCTACATTGTGATTCTCTGTTTTTGTGAATCTCTTCTTCAGTAGTGCATGAGCTTCCTTACAGCAGGGGCTGTGTCTTATTATCTTTGTCTTCCCAGTATCAGCGAAGGGCCTAGCACGCAGGGGAGGAAGGGGGCAATGGTATGGGACTTATAAAAAAAAAAAAAAAAAAANAAAAAAAAAAAAAAAAAAACACTTCTCTTCTCAAGTCTTATGCATTCAAGAACTCAAATTTTTTCCAGTTAATAAAAAAATGCTATGGATAACCTTTTGCTCGATCTCCATATGAAAATTACATATGTAGTTCCTAATAAACATATTCTATTATTCCCTACTCATTCATTCATTATTCAACTAATATTTAATGAACTCTTACCACATGTCAAATAGGAAGCTGGGTGCTGGGGATACTATGGTGGACAAGACAGACATGGTCTCTGTCCTTATTTTATACTCTAAATTATCAAGTAAGTTTTTCTTTTTAGTCATTAGATCTTATACACACAATGTTTTCTGCATAGGTATTTTGCAGATAACACACTTTGCATTTTGAGACAGTGCCAAAAGAATATCCAAATAGGGAATCAGTTGTGGAATGAATAATAGTAAGTCAGCCATATTACCTTTATGTGTTACAATAAATAAAAATCCAGCAATAAAGGCCATTTACCAAGTTACATTTCTATTTAATGTCCATTTTCCCTGTTAGACTTCTCATACCATAAAGGCAGGGTCCATGTGTCTTATCTTGTGGTTCACTGCTGTAATTTTAGTACAGTATCTGTACAATACATAGTTGTCAATCAAATGATTAAATATTCAAGGCTCATAACTGTCCCCTAGAACATGGGAGTAAATGAAGTCAATTATTTTAAAATTTAAGACAGATTTTATAAGTACCTAACACAATATAAAGTTGCCATACTACCTGTGTGCATGCATTTCTTTCTTACCATAAGTGGAATGCTCCATATGTTTGGAAAACCTGACCTATAGAGAGTGTACACACTATAAGACAAACCATCTACCTAAATTTATTGCCTGCTTAGCAATGAATCAAGTGCACTTGCCCCCCTTATCATGAACCCACTTAAGGAAAAGGCTGTCCCTCTTTTAAAGATATGGAAAAGAAAACTGAATGTTTTAAGATTTTTCATCATCCAGTCATGAAAAACCAAGTTCTTAACCTTCACATTTTAATTTTGAAAGCTCTGTCTTTGTAAGCACAGAATAGTGCTTTAAACATCAGCAGGTGCTATCCAAAGCTATAAGTCTCATACAAAATTAAAATAATGCTCTCACAAACTGGCAAGTAACTTCTTTAAGCAGAAAGAGCAACAACATTTTATTTTATTACAAATAAACATTTCACAAAAATTTAATTGGGAATGTATATGTACTATTAAGCAGAATACAGAAAACATAAAGAAATAAGGTATTGGGACCTAAAAATTTCATTTAAAATCCCATCAAACTGCCCTTACATGTAGTAGGTACGCAATACATATCAACTAAACTAAAAGTAAACACTCTATAAGATGTGCTTGCAAAATGTGTAATGCTGTAGTAGCAAAGTACAATTTTCAAATATGAGATTTTATCTGTCAGATTTTTAAAAAGCCTTTAAAAATATGATATGCACAAGCTTGCCCTGAGGGAAAAATAAGATGGACTATAGATTATAAAATCTTTACATATTTTCCACAATAGCATTTTGAAATTGGAAAAGAGCAAATAGTTGTGGAAAAAGCTGAATGAACGTATTACTAAAAATTCAGTGCACTCACAACTACTTGATGGAATATTTGAAGCACCTTTTCTCTCACCTTCTTATAATATGAAATGTATGAATTATATAGGCCTTGATCTTCAGAAACTTAAGAAAACTTCAAGTTATAAGCCAAAATGTCATCAGAAAAAGAAAAATCCAGTATAAAATTTTCTACCATAAGGCCACTGTTTAAAGTTCTTTCATGTTCAGACACTGTACAATTCAGATACTTATTTTTATTACGTAAGCAAAACTTTCAACATATAAACGTCTGAATATAACTTGGTGAAGTTCTCTCTATGAAACCATGCTCAGAGAAAAATGCGTCAACAAATAATGCCCTTCAAGTGATTCTTTTGAGACTTTTTGCAAAACAAACTGTAGTTAATACAACTTTTAAATTGAATACTGTAATTTAAAAGCAATTGTTAGGTGTAAAAAAGTTGCAGCATTCCACTACTAAAAAATAAAGTTACTTTATCAAGAAGTTACAGTATTAGTGCCTTAGCATCACTTCTAACTCCTGACAAAAAGAGAGAGATGCTCCCACACATCCTCCTGTAGTGTCATTTCCATTTGTACGATTTCAGA